GTTGCACTCTGGCGAGATTTTACTTGCACATTCTGCCTTCAGTAGGTCACTCCAGATGGAAACTGGCCTCTTTGATAGCAAAATCAGGGCCCATGTGTTTTGGAATCCCTGTCTTTCATACCCAGTCTCGGAACACCACATAAACTGGGGGTTTACTTCAGACTCTTTCAGTGCTGTTACAGAAACGTGCTTTCTGTAGCGGGACCCAATCCTTGATTTTTGCAGCTTGTAGCTAAAGGTTAAAACCTCAGGGTGAATCTTGTCCCATTGAGATCAATGGCAAAGCTCTGAAAACAGCCTGGAGTTCACCCTAAATCCACATGTAGGGACTGAAATAAATAACCTAATTTATACTGGCCATGAGCCCCCAGTGACTTCAACTGAAGTCGTCGTCTGGCATTTAAGGACGGGTGAGCTGATTTGAAACAAATTGAACTGACAGGAAAGTTTGTGAAATCTCAAACTCACAGGCTTAGAGGTTCAGAACTCTTAGGGTAATTTTTTTTCAAGGAGGGAGAGGAGTCTGCTCTCTCTGTCCCCCAGGATCTCGGGTTCTGGAGTGGTTGAGAAGCACTAAAAGGCAGTAAAAATAAAAGCATGCTTCTGGCATAGAGGAAACCACTCAGGGTTGGAAATCTGAGGGGGAGGTGCAGGAACACACAGTGTATGTATGTTGGGGTGGGGGCGAGGGGGAATATTGTATCCAGATCACAGTGGCACAGAGTGCTGAAACTGGGTGAAATAGGGAATGCACATCCTGCCTAATGCACAGACCAAAGAGGCGTAAGGAGGCCTGCTGGGGGAGGGGTAGGGGTGCGTCTCAGACCAGAATGGAATGTGGACCACACTTTAGCAGATTGTCTGTGACACCGTCTGCCATCCGGACCATCCCTCCTCCCGATACAGGCTCTTGGCAACATCAGCAATTGCCAACCCCGAAAATCAGCCTCAGGAAGGGGTGTCTGGGTTTCCAACGGGCTGCAATACATCAAAGCTTTGTATCATTTTGAGGAAGACTTTCTGACGCTGGCTACTTTTAATCTCCATGTCCTGTCTCCCTCCCCACTGGCCTTTCGCTCTCTCCTTCCCTGCACAGGCTGAGCTGTAGCTGGGGTTTCCTTCACCCCCGGAAAGGCAATTCAGGCTGATCTCCCCTTTTCCCCAGTGCAGGCAGACACTGAGTTTAACCTCGTCTGAGGAGGTATTTCTGTGAGCTGTCGCTGTGGGGTCTGGCGCCTGAGTGAGGGGTATCACTGTGTGGCAGGCATGGAAGTTGTGCGGGGTGGAGACCTGCCCTGCCAAGCAATAGAACTGCACGACCTTTACTCAGTTTTCAATCCAACTGTTATGTAACTTCAGACATTTCACCAGTGGAATGAACCATTGTTCTTTGTGTGACATGGCACCCCATAGTCTTCATAGTGATATTATGATATGATCTTGGGGTCTGTGGAGGTTCCGCTTTTGGTCTAGATAGCTGGTTGGGGAGGGCCTAGTCAGGGCAATGAGCCATAAGGGAACATAGCAGTTCTTAACTTCCCACAGAAGAGGATTCCTGGGAACAACTGAGGAAAAAGAGTGAACTGGAAGAAGTGCTGGACCCAGACTAAAAGTACTTCTAGCCTCTGTATGGAAATTTGAGAAACTCAAGCTGTAAAGCAAATGCAGCTTGTGCCTTGAGATTCTTCCACACTGCTTGTATCATCAATCAGGGTGAGAAACTGCTAAATCATAGTCAATCTAACTAGTGTGCTAAGCTTAGTTTGTGTTTTTGTTTATTTGCTAGTTAATCTGTTTTGATCTGGTTGCTATCTCTTATAATCACTTTAAATCTATTTGTTGTAGTTAAAAAACTTGTTTTTATGTTTTAATCTAAACCCAGTATGCCTTGAACTGAAGTGCCGAGTGAGGGGCGGGGAATCTCAGCTTGCTTACTACAAGTGTGCATTGTCCTCCCCATGTTCAGGGAGGGACGAACAGGGAAACTAATTCATACTGGTCAGAGTTTGGACCAGGGCAGGATGGTCCAGCTCTGGGGTCCTAGACTGTGTCTCAATCATGAGAAATTTCACACTCAAGTGGCAAATTTCCAAGCAGGCACCTCTGCGGCTTCTCTTGTTACACCCATACACATCGCAGGATGCTTCAACGACTGCTGTAAAGGAACAACTTGTAAGCTGAGAAGTATGCACACGACATAATGAGAGCAGGAACTCTGGGACATGCCTGAAACAGTGGGCCACTGGGACACGGGTGGTAAACCCAGGATGCTCTGGGACAATTAGATAGCCAACTCTGTTAGTCAATGGTGAGGGTTATACAGTCATTCCTCAGTGCGGAGATTTTATGGGTCAAGTCATTATTTTTTTCACCTAAAATGTTCATCCATGCAGTGCCTGATGGGACCAATCAGACTTGTGAAATAGACACCTAGTGTAACATTTCCACGGTGCTACATAGGGCTAAATTCAATAGTGTCATGAACAGAAAAAATGCCTTCAGTAAGCTCAGGCATGAACTTGCAGGGAAAACGCCTCCATCTGACTCGAGACCAGACCAGTGCATTCCAAGGCCAGATCATAGTGATCATTTAGTCTGTATAACCCAGGCTTGTATAACACATGCCTCAGAATTTCCCCAAAATAATTCCTAGAGCAGATCTTTTAGAGAAACATCCAACCTTGATTTAAAAATTCTCAATGAGGAAGAATCTGCCAAGACCCTTGTTAAATTGTTGCAATGTTTAATTATTCTCACCCTTTAAAAATGTATGCCTTATTTCCAGACAGTATTTCTATAACTTCAACTTCTAGCCTTTGTATCCTGTTATAGCTCTCTATGCTAGCCTGAAAAGCCTATTATTAAATATTGGTTCCTTGTGTAGGTACTTATAGACTGCTATCAAGTCATCCCTTCACCATCTTTGCTAAACTACACAGGTTGAGATCTTTGAGTCTATCAGGTTTTCTAATCTTTTACTAATTCTTGTTCTACTTCTCTGAACTCTCTTCAGTGTATCAACATCCATCTTTAATCATGGACACCAGAACTGGACAGAGGATTCCAGCAGCAGTCACACCAGTGCCACATATACAGGTAAAATAACGTCTCTACCTCTCCTTCAGATTTCCCTGGTTATCATTGCAGGCTCTTTTGGCCACAGGGTCGCACCGAGAGCTCATGTTTAGCTAATTACCCCTTCATGACCCCAAATCTAGTTCAGAGTCATTGTGCTTCCCACAATCTCCCACCATCGTGTAAGCATTGCCTACACTCTTTGTTTCCAGATGTAGGTATTTAAATGGCTATATTAGAACACATGTTGGTTGCTTCAACCCAGTTTGCCAATCAATCCAGATTGCTCTGAATCAGTGACCCGTCCTCTTCATTATTTACCATCCCCCAATTTTTGTGTCATCTGTAAACTTCATCGACATTCAGTCAAGAGATAGGTTAGCATGTGTGCTTCTGACACATCTCTCCTTACACCTGTCAGGTAGCACCTTATGTTTCAGACAGCGCCAAGTGCCTGCAAGAAAGTGTCTTACAAAAAGAAACAAGGGAAGTAACTGCTGTGCCATCCTGTAGCCCAAAATACCATAAGATTTGTGCCCCCAGTGCGTATTGTCTTGAATACAAAGTCATAGACCTGCATGAGAATGTCTATTTCTATAAGGGAAATGTGGCTCCTTTCCAACATAGGAACTGCGTTGTGGATTAGATGTATGGTCCATCTAGCCCAGCGTCCTCTCTCTGACAGTGACAGCCCCAGGTGCTGCAGTACAAGGTGTAAGAAATACAGCAGTGGATTGATTCAGGGAGATGACCTCACCATCATGAGAGTGTCACCCTAATGCCTAACAGCTAGAGATTCGCTTGTGCCCTGAAACGGGTGGGCGCATAGACTTTCCAAAATATTTATTTAGCTGTTACTATTGTAACTGGTCAGTCTCACGATCCATGAAAATGTCCAAACCCTTCCTGATTCTTGCTTAGCTCTTGGCCTCAGCTACCTTTTGTGGCAATGAGTTCCGCAGTTTAATTAGGCATCAAGTGAAGAAGGAATTCTTTTTGTCTGTTTTATTGACTGTCCTCTTGATCTTATGTTAGAGAGAAGATCGAGCATGTGGTCTCCCTCTCTTCTACTAGTCAGTATTTTAAAGACTTTTCTCATATACCCTCTTATTTATCTCCTTTGTCAGGTAACAATCCCAGTTTTTTCAAACTCTCTCGTTGATCATTCCCTGAACCCCTCTAGTTCTCCAATATCCTGTGTGAGAAGGGTGCCCAGTACTACACAGAGGAGTCCAGAGGAAGGTGAAACATTCACTGACTGACCTCATAGCATTGTATCTTCTGTATGATTCCCCATCCCACTCCTCCTGGGTTCCAATGTTTTGCTTAGTTTCTGCCCCTGCTTACACTGTGAGCAGGGTTTCCCAGAGCTCTGTACTGTGATGCCCAGCTTCCGGTTCTGAGTTCATACAATTAAATTACAACCTTGTTAGGTGTTTGAGGTGTTCCAGCCATACCCTCAAATTGGCATACATGTTGCATTTCTTGACATTGAAGGTCATGTGCCATTCACCTGGCTTGGTTAGCTCCCTCTCAGAACTTCTCTGGACTTGATCATTATTGAAATAATTTGGTGCCATATGCAAATGTTGCCACCTCACTGCTCAACCCCTTTCTAAATTGTTAATAGCTATAAAGTATTTACCGTATTAGTTGCCATAAAGTGTGTAACCCCCTCGCTGTGCTTCTCTCCCTTCACAGGCACCTTGAGCATTTCTGAGCCTGATCAACAGATTAACCACCTCATGGCAGATTTCAACCTCACCCTCTCTGACCCGTCAACATTCATCCTAATTGGCATCCCTGGCCTAGAAGCTGCTCACATTTGGATTTCCATCCCTTTCTCTATGCTGTACCTAATCGGCCTGTTGGGAAATTTCATTGTTCTGTTTGTTGTAGGCAAAGAGCAGACCCTGCACAAGCCGATGTACCTGCTGCTCTGCATGCTGGCACTCACAGACATCGCCGTGTCTACCTCCGTCATGCCGATGGCACTGTGTATATTTTGGTTCAATTTGAAGGGCATTACTGTGGGTGGCTGTTTTACGCAGATGTTCTTCCTTCACATGATTTCTGTTATGCAGTCAGCCATCCAAGTGGCAATGGCCTTCGATCGCTACATTGCCGTATGTAACCCTTTGAGATATGCCACCATCATCACCAACACACGAATAGCTAAGCTATGTCTAGTGGGTTTGATAAGAGCTGTTCTCCTCATGCTCCCCCTGCCCCTGCTTCTGAGTAGGCAGCCATTCTGTGGCAACCACATTATCCCCCACACGTACTGTGAGCATATAGTTGTGGTGAAGATATCATGTGGGGACACCACTGTCAACAGGACATACAGCTTGGTGGTTGCATTTGTAGTCTCTGGGTTAGATCTGACACTTGTTGTCCTGTCCTACAGTCTGATCATCAGGGCCGTCCTCAGAATCTCCTCCAAGAAAGCCTATGAGAAAGCCCTGAACACCTGTTCAGCCCACCTCTGTGTGATACTGACATCTTTTATTCTCTTCCTTTTGTCTACTCTGACACACCGGTTCGGTCAGCACATCAGTCTCCATGTTCACATCATCTTGGCCAACCTCTTCTTCCTCATCCCCCCCATACTCAAACCAATCATTTATGGCATCAAAATCAAAGAGCTTCATGACAAAGTGGTCAAATACACCTGCAGAAAGTGATCTCTTGGGGCCACTAACTTTAATCCTCTGTGACAAGAGGGGGAAGGGATTTCTCCTCATTAATCAAGAGTACTCGTCCCAATTTGGCTGAGCGCAACATTGTACAATTTCACAGTCTCAGAACTTCCTCACACCAAATGTCTTATCATCCCATCACCAAGCACTGTTCTCTCCATTGAGGAGTTCCCTCTCTCTGATCATCACCTGATGTCTTTCAGCATCACCCATCAGTCCCCAACCCCACACACCCTGTCACTCTGCCTTTCCATGAATTTCAGACTACCAGAAGATTCTGCAGCTTTTTGAAGCAAGGGGCTTTGCATTAGCCCTTTGTGAACAGGGTTCTTGATCAGTTTGAGAAACTAAAGCTACATTTTCAGATAGCCAAAGACAAAGAAGAAAACTGCAATGGTGAACTTCTTTTTCATATGTGCAGTGATCCAGTGAGTAAAATTTATCTGATTTTGCTATGTCCAGTAATTCAGAAAGCCTGGAGGATAAACCAAAAGTTTCAGTTGGAAAGCAATTATACAGGAAAGCTGCAGCAGGAACTGAGAACATTCCCCTAGAGCTTGTTGGTGAGAGTTGTGAAACCATGTATTTTTTAGAACAAGACTGCTGTATTAAAGTATGACCATAACCGTTGAGTCAAATTACTCACCAGATTGCACAGTCGCTTTCCAGCTGGAACTTTCAAAACAGACACTCACTGTTCGCATTGTCGAAGATGTCAAAAAAGGTGTCAAGATTTTATGTTGGAGTTTTTGAAACAGATGAAACAGAGATAGCCACCAAATGTTGAGGTGATTGTATCGATTGCGGTACTATGTCCTTCAGCTTGGCATGACCTAGATTGGCTGATATCTCATTTTTGCCATTGGTTTGTGGATACTTTGGACAGTTGAAGAAGCAATGTAGATTTTTCCCTATGATTCACTGACCTCATGCTCAGAAAAACCAAGATGAGCAGTTTGGAGTTTAAGTTCTCGAACACATGGATTCTTCTGAGGACAAAGACTTTAGTGAACTTGGATTGTTTGCTCTTTCATTACTGTCGCTACCTTTTAGCAATACTGCAGTTGAATGATTGTTTTCTCAGATCAATTTGATAAAAACAAAATTGCGCAAGAAGATTCTAGAGGAACCTTTAGAAAATATTCTTATTAAGGAGTGTGTGCAACAACACAAAAATCTGTTGTGAACAGTTTGCACCAACAAAAGGAATGATTGCACTGGTCACTGCTGATATGTAGGACCAGCAGCAGTAGTATTCTACTCCCAACAAACACAGTGAGGATGAAATGTTGCCTTTTAGAGACTAACAGTAACAAACAAATTCAAGTCAAAATATGGACATATACTACTAGCTACCAACCCTCCATCGGGATATAAGTACCTGTACTGGGGGGTTGATTTTGAATTTCACTGTCATCTCGCAGCTTTGTTGTTAATGTGGACCAACTCCTGCTGGGGATTGTAGATTCTTTTTTTAAAATCTCACCCATACAAGGTATCTAATGAAATCTTCCATTTCTTTCTTGATGTATAGGCCAATGCGTTAATTAAAAAAACCACCTTCATTTCAAGCAATAGACGGGGTTACTTTTAGGTTAGTTTTAAGTCACTTTGGTCCATTAATGCAGTAGAAATCTGGGAACACTGAGCTGGAGGCAGGGCAGCAGCCGCTAGAAACACTGAGCCCGAGGCCCCAGGGCTGGGCTGGAGGCGGAGCAGCGGTGCTGAGGCAGAGCTGGGGAGCTGCAGCTGGATCAGACCAGAGCTGGGAGCTGGGTCGGCACAGACCAGCTGCGCCGGCGGGGAGCCAGAGCTGAGCTGCAGGGGAGAGCTGTGGGGCCAGAGCCAGGATAGTGGACGTCGGCCTCGCCACAAGTAACCTGGCAGCTGAGAAGAATGAACAGCTGGGGAGAGATGGTGGGGCCTCGGGCAGAGGGCCCAGCACAAGGAGAAGTCACCAGACAAGCGGGCCTCAAAGGATGGATTCAGAAGTGAGTATGTGAATCTGATGGAAGGACAGAGGTTAGGGAGAAGGGTCCTGCCACCTGCAGCCCGAGGGTGTGTGGCCATTGCCAGAGCAAGTGTCGGACCCGCGGTATTACCACAGCATAGCCAGGACCTGGGCAGGAGGCCTGGGCTGTGTGAGGAACAAACTGGAATCATTTTTCACATCCCAAAGTCAGCTGTTTGTGGTGTTTCCCATGCTCATAGAGTGTGGTTCCATGTTTCCTTGAACATTTCTCATTTTTTCATTTTTTTTTTTTTACAATTGCTGTTTAATAATTTATATTTGGATTGAATTTAGTGTAGTGATCAGTGGGTCAGGGAAGCGTCCAGTGTGAAGAGAGTGCCCCAGGGTGGGGACACCCTACCCCTTATCCTAAGTGACTATGATGAGACTGGTTCTTCAGCCTGCCAGGTATCCTCAGCTATGTCACCATTTTGACACAGGAAAGTGGAAGGGGAATCCTTGAGATGAGGCAGGTCTTTAGGTAAAGGAAGTTGGAGTGGGGACTCAGATCCTTTCGCTAGCCAATTCCCCTGGGGTAATGCAGAAGCCAGGAAAGTTCCCAACATGAAAGTAGGGAACTGGAACAAACTGAGGGTTGGATATTAGTAGTGGCTCTGGAATGATTTTTAGGGTGGGGGTGTGATGTTGCACTCTATACGATTTTATGAAAATATGCTGATGAGTGTGAATATAATGTAACTAAAATATGCTTCATGCAAAATGTCTCTTGTAAGGCATCATCACAAAGCTTATAATCTACGGAGTGTGGTCAGCCTATTTGTATAAATGTATCACTCTTATATCTGAAACTAGAAATATGAAATATAACTCTAATATCGTATTGTAGTTATGCAAAGTGTGGGCCATTAATGGTGGTTTGGAATCTTGATGGCTCCCATCAAACAGGACCATTGACTGTGGATGTCTCTGTTTGCTTGCAGGCCTTCCTGTGAGTCAAGCTGGGAGGAATGAAGGCTTGGGGTCTCACAGGACATGTGACCATGTCACCTGGTACTGGAATCCATCTGAAACCTGGTACCTCTCCATTTAGAAGAGGGGGTGGGGACCCAGAGAGATAAAAGTTTCCTGCCTTGTGCCAAAGCTATATAAGGTGGTGGAATAGAATAAAAGGGCTGCAATCATGAGAAATCCCCTCGCTACCACCTGAGCTGGAACAAGGGCTGTACCAGGGGAAAGAATCGTGCCCAGACAAGGAAGGCATCCAGTCTGTGATAGAAGCTTATTGAAACATCTCTGAGGGTGATATTTTATCTGTATTCAGTTTTCTTACTGTATTAGGCATAGACTTGTATGTTTTATTTTATGTTGCTTGGTAATTCACTTGTTCTGTCTGTTACTACTTGGAACCACTTAAATCCTACTTGTTGTATTTAATAAAATCACTTTTTACTTATTAATTAACCCAGAATATGTATTAATCCCCGGGAGTTGGGGGAGGCAAACAACTGTGCATATTTCTCTATCAGTGTTACACAGGGAGAACAATTTATGAGTTTAAAATTTATGAGGGTAAAACGGATTTATTTGGAGGTTGGACCCCATTGGGAGTTGGGCATCTGAGTGTTAGAAACAGGAACACTTCTTAAGATGTTTTCAGTTAAGCCTGCAGCTGTTGGGGGACATGGTTCAGACCTGGGTCTGACTTTGAAGCAGATTAGCGTATCTGGCTCAAACCAGGGAGGGCACTGAAGTCTCAACCTGCCAGGGGAAACAGGCTCAGAGGTAGTCTTAGCACATCAGGTGGCAGTCCCAAGGGGTTTTCTGTGATCCAAACCATCACAGGGGGTGCTTAGCTGCACCTCCCCCCTTACCCGTGTCCACGCAGTGCCCCTCATTGCTCCAGGCTGCAGCCAGACCTCGGGGCAGCTGTGAAGACCCAGGCCATGGTGGGACCCTGGGCAGCAGAGCCCACAGGTTCAGCAGGTGGCAGGACCCTGGGGGTGATGGGCCTCTGGGGCTTGGTAGAGCCTGTGGGGCTGGTGGGACACCGGGATCAGCAGAACCTGCTGGGTCCATCAGCTGGACTGGCACTGGCAGAGCCGGCGGGGACCTGGGGCCAGCCCTGGGCATGGGAACACCAGGTGAAAAACCTGGGGATTCTGCAGTATCTCCCACACTCCTACTTCCCATGCCTAAGGATATTAGTCACGGGTGAAAAGATGTGTAACTTGTGAAATCTTCATATAAATGGTAAAAGTTGAAATGTATATCTTTGGGAAGTGACCAAAGCCCACAGGTTAGTCAAAAACATGGAGACCTGATAGAAGGGTCAGAATTTGGGGAGAGCATGACTGTTATAGCAGGGATAAAGGAGAGGCAACACAGAACTGCAGGGGAGAATCAAATCAATATCTTAGATGTCTGTATCCTAATGTGAGAAGTATGGGGAATTAGAAGGAAGAACTCAAAATGCTAGTAAATAAACACAACTATGACAGTTGGCATCACAGAGACTTGCTGGGATAATACGTATGACTGGAATACTGGTATAAAAAGGAACAGCTTGCTCAGGAAGGACAGACAGGGAAAAAGGTGTTGCTTATATATTAAAAATTTATACACTTGGACTGAGGTTGAGATGGAAATGGGGGACAGACTTGTTGAAAGTCTCTGGGTAAGGAAAAAAGGGGTAATAAACAAGGGTGATGTCATGGAGGGGTTTACAACAGGCCACCTAACCAGGAAGAAGAGTGGGTGAGGCTTTTTTTAAACAACTAACAAAATCATCCAAAGCACAGGACTTGGTGGTGATGCGGGACTTCAACTACCTAGACATCTGTTGGGAAAATAACCACAGCAGGGCACAGATTATCCAACAAGTTCTTGGAATGTATTGGAGAAAACATATAAATTAGGGTGACCAGATGTCCCGATTTTATAGGGACAGTCCCGATTTTTGGGTCTTTTTCTTATATAGGCTCCTATTACCCCCCACCCCCTGTCCCGATTTTTC